CAAGCCCGTTAATGTCTACTCCTGTGACATTAACGGGCTTCATGACGGTATTTATTCCAAATTATGTATTGAATATATAAATAACGTTATAAATATGTTAAATAAGATTCGAATAAATAAAACTAAATATTAGCATGAAGTACTCGTAGATCAACTGCAGCAGTAGAACTGACTTATTATTAATCAGTAATAGAGTTTCTCATCTCTCGACTTATGGTTTTTCTACACAAATTAACAACACAACAAATTAGAAATGGCTTGGTAGCGATCACCTCATTTCCAAGTTAAAGTTTTTTTTTAATTTAATAGAATTTGGGTGAAAACCGACTACACAGTCCATCTGGTGGGTTTTTTATAGGATAAGGTGACAAGAGAGCACACAGTCCACCTGATGGTAAGTGGTTGCTGTGGCCCATAGACATCTACATTTATCCTCGTTTGCGAATCAAAATGCAGATGCGTTGTCACCCGTGAGGACTAAGATGGAATGACTCTTTTCCAGTAAAAAGGGTCTCCGGTTCTCTACACTAACCATACGAAACACAGCAGTATTAAGCTGCAATTTTACGCTGGTATTCTGTGAGGTTCTTCTCTGGTCGAGCCGACCCATTCGTGCTACAACTATACTACTAATATAGCTGCAGCATGGCTCTACCACCTATAAAACCTGTTTTAATTTCCCTCTGTCGCCTCTTACGACACCCACGGGACGGTATGAAGTAGTGGATATTTTTACACCTCCACAACACGCCAGAAAGTTTCTTCGGTTTTCCACACTCACAATACGAAACACAGCAACATCAAGCTGATATTTTATTGGTATCCTGTGAGAGTGTGAGACCCTTTCGTGATACAATTAAAATATAGCTGCGACGTAATTCTACCACGTATAAATGAGTACGAATATATTGAAAACATAATGAGATCATAATTAGAAACATTTCTTAAAAACCAATGAAAATCATGTCGAGACTTAGGCCAGAAATGTACACGTATGCACACGGTCCCGCATTTCCTTCCACATCTATCCGTAGATTCATAACTCAACTGAATCAATTTGTTATCGTGCATTATTATCTCTTCCGTATAGAGATTCAATCGACGGTTTTTTTTATTCCGTCTCGGACGATAAATGTATTTTAAATCGCTTCCCGCCTACAAAATATTGAGACTTTCTACGTTGTCGTTGAAGAAAACTTTCTAAAACGCTTGAAAAACATCAACTAATACTAAGAAATCATAAAACCATGTTTAAAATAAATAAAACTTAAAAAACATAAACTAAAACTTTAAAAACATGCGTGAATATCGTGGAACACTCGGTTGGAACGAAGTTCCTTTCGTACTATATTATTATTGATTAACGTCTTATATTATTGATTAAAAAATACAAATAAATGGATTACAAGCATCTATTAAAATGAAGCGTCATTTAAAATAATATTTCTTTCATGTCAATATAAGATAAAGTGCCAGGGAGATGGATATTATTCCATCTCGCTCTCACAATAGAAAAGGGGTCGAGATGGAAAAATCTTTCACTTTTCGCCTAGCCCCCATCTGTCAAATTCGTACCGTGGGATGAAGAACTTCGTTCTAATAGTAAAATAATTTACACCTAATAGTTTCGAAAGTTGATGCGAAAAGTAGTGTATCGAAGAATTAAAGTCACGAATTTTTTTAATTATTTTTTACTTCTGAAGTTTAACCAATTTCATAAAACAAGAATCACTAAAATCATACAAACAACATACGCCTTGAGTATAGTAACTTCTTGTTTTTGGAACTCTATAAATTTTAATTAAAAAATTTAAATTATCTTTTTGTATAAATCTATATGTACAATTTTTAATCTAGTGAGCAGTTACGAGTACCTCGTATCATAAATAATTTTTCTCTACGGAGTTAAAGCATTATTGCAATGGTTTTTTAAAAATAATATTACACAATACTACATTTAAAGTGAAAAATTCCAAGTAATTTAGCTCAGCTTAGCACATTTGTAAGAGTGTGCAACAAAACTTCGCTCCGCTGAGCCCATGCCTATCGGGTTGGAACAGGAGATGGGAAATTTAAACAATTTATTTCGTATTACGGTTATACACCGGTGATCCCCAGTGCTTATATTTAACTCTTTCTTATTACAATAAAGAGGTTTTTTTTAATGGAAGGTAAAAAACGAGCACATAGTCCAACTGCATAAACTATATACCTGAACCAAAGCGCAGATGCGTTGTCACCCCTGAGGACTAATATGGAGTGCCTCTTTTCCAATAAACAAAAATGGTATCTGGTTCACTACACTCACCATACGAAACACAGCGATATTAGGCTGCGATTTTACGCTGGTATTTTGTGAGAGCGTGGTCTTACCCGGGTAGAGCCGACCCATTGATGCTACAGTCATAATAAGAGCGTGGCTCTACCGCGTAAACTATATGATAGATTTATGATGTGTCATAGCCAAGCTGCTGCTATATTATTACATTTTATACATTTAAATAATAATAAACTATTTTTCGGAAAAATGGTTATTAATTACTATCACTGAAATATGTATTAAATATTTAATTATTAAACAGCACCATGGTATACGGAAATAATTAACATGAAGGAAATCAATTTTAATGCTTTTGACATATGTTTAATTAAATACTTTATAAAAATAACAAAATCGGTAGTGTCATTAATAGACACGGTTTTACAGGTTTCATTTTATAGTGTAGGAAGTAAAAAGCAATCTATCAATGTTATAAGCCATCAGACAGAACAGCCGAGTAATCAGTCATTTTTTTACTGTCTTGTAGTAAATAGCCTGCAGGTAGCTATTTATTAATTTAAGAAAAATATATTCAATAAATTTATTATTACACTAATATTTAGCAGCTTGTGAAAGAATATTTTTGCATAAGACTATTCCGAATTAAAATTAATAATGTGCAATTGCTTATAATACGTAGGTCACTCAATAAGTTTTGAGATGCTCGAAATTTAAAACTGGAACGCACCCGTGTTATATGTTTCTAAAAATCAAATTTATTTAAAAATAGAACTCCATAAGTCAAATGCTAAATATTAAAAAAAAACCAAAATTCTATTAATTTTCCTGCAACGCTTCCCGCGCTTTTCATTTAAAATAATGGATCTTAACCGTGAACATTTGCGCGCTATGATATATTATGATTTTAAATTTGGTTTAACTGAACAATTAAGTTTACAACGGTTAAATCCAGTATTAGGGGACTCAGATCCATCAGGCGCAACAGTTCTTAAGTGGTTTGCCGAATTTAAAAGGGGTAAAATTAATTTTAAAGATGACCAAAGAACCGGGGCCCCGCAAACAGCAACAACGGCAGAAAATGTATGGACTACTGAAATGATGGTGCGAGAAGACCCACGAATCACATATACGGATATCGAAAAGATTGTAGGCACTAGTTCGGAGAGCATTCATACCATCCTACATCAACATCTTGGAGTGAGGAAGCTTTGATGTCGATGGATTCCCCGTTTGCTCTCCGAAAGCGAAAAACAGACTCGTGTGGATTGGTGCCATGAAATCCGTCTAAGTTTTGAAAACGGAGCATCTGGGCGTGTTTTAGAAATTGTTACTGGTGACGAGACATGGATCTATCAATATGATCCAAAAAATAAAGGGCAATCATCGGTATGGGTCAACAAAACTGCAGACCTCGCAACGTCGGCAAAAAAATGGTAGCTAGTTTTTTTCGCGGAGCGGACATTAGTCGACGTTAGTGCTGGAAAATTGTAGGTCAGAGTCAACTCTAAATGGTATACTACGTTTGCATTACCTAAAGCTTTTCAAGCTGTGCGGGAGAGAAGACCAAAGATCGGGCTTCGGGGAATCATACTGCATCACGATAACGCCTCTTCACATACCTCCCTTAAAACAAAAGCATTTATTGAGGAATCTGGTGTTGAAACTCTAAGTCACCCACCCTACAGCTTTGAGTTAGCTCCTTGTGATTTCTTTTTGTTCCTAAAAGTCAAAGAAAATATAAAAGGTAAGTTTTTTTCAAGCGCCGAAGAAGCCGCGGCTGACTACGAAGATGCGATTTCCGACCTGTCAGATTAAGATCAAGGCAAAAGTGTTTTCAGAGTTGTTTTAGGCGAATAGAACTTTATATAGAACATGATGGGGAATATTTTGAAAAGATGTAAAGTAAATATGAATAGTATCTAGAATACTTTTTGTATATATCAAAAGTTATTGAGTGACCTTGTAACTAAGTAGTTACATAATTTATGAACGCTACAAAAAGATGTAAAACTATTATTCATAGTGATTTTGCAGTCAGATTATTGTTTTTTTTTTTATTAACTTAATACGTTTTTTTAAACAATTATAAGCTACTGCTTGATTATTAAACCAGTTGATAGTATGCGGTGATGTGAAGGAAGATGGTAAATCGCAAAACTTTTTTTGTAATAAAAGTAAGGGTGCCAAACAAATCGCCAGTATCCCAGTGACCTATATACACCTACATCTGTCCTCGTGATTACCTCGTTAGTCAAGTGGTCGTAAGTTAGAGTGCTGATCATAAATGGTCAGGCCAAAAGAGTTGTTGTGGTTTTCTGTAAATAAATCACACAGTAGCATCGGAAAATCCGGTGCTGTCGAAATGCCCTCTCCTTGGGCTGTGAGAGTGAGACAGGCACCTGCGCTTGAGCTCACACCTGCACTGTAATCTTGAGTTGAGGTTTGCTGCCGTGGCTTTATTATATTTCCCTTCGATTAAAAACCATAATGCAAAGACGTTCTGGAGGACAATATTATATTTGCCTTACGCAATGATTCTTTACCATAAAAAAGGGTCTGCTGTTATCGTCAATCGCTATAGGAAATGCAGCATCATTGTGCTGTTTTCTGTGTAATCATTGTCCTACCCCGGTCGAGTCGACACAGTCTAAAGCAATAAAATATTGCACTGTGATACAAGTGAAACGAATTACTAACATAGAAATTTTTGTTACAGAGAATGCGATTGGTACTGCTGTTTGCCCTATGGGGGGTCGCGGTTGCCCGGGAGGACGACTGGAAACCTATAGTACCGGAGCCATCGCTTTTTTATAACAACTATGCGCAGTCGGCTGAAAGATCTATCGAAGCTGGGTAAGTGGTAGAATAATTACTAAAATTAATAAAAAAAAATTCCAAAATAACATGAACCTATGTTACGGGCCTAACATTATTGAGATACGGATTGGAATTGAAATAATTAAGACTAATTTTTTAATTTAGTTTTTCAATTGCTCATGATATTAAATGCTGTTGAGGATTAAAGTATGAAATTACTATTATATATTGAAAAGTACAGACATTTTTTTCTAAAATGGCTATATTTACACTCTACTCCACCTCCCGGGTCCAAGTTTGAATCTAAATACAAGTCCAAGTATAAATCTATATACTTAACTCTTTCATCGGCGTAATCGACAACTCCGATCGTCGTCAGTATCGAAATTCGCGGCCTTTTTCCCATTCATGTTTTTTTGGTGAGGTAACACGCTATTTTTGTTTCAGACCTCAACTCAAAATATTAAATAGAAGACCGGTACAGCCATCCTACACAACAAATAAACTGACAAGTTTCTACAATGCTGCGTCGACGCCAATGTCCGACACCTGTAGCGTCTACAAGGTGTCTATGAACCAGGAGCTGTTCTACCAGTACATGGAATATGATATGGATCTGCCCGACTTGAAGGAGTTCACACTATGCATGTGGACAAAGTTTCATAATCATTCCGAAGATCACCCCTTGTTTTCTTATGCAGGTGAGTAATATTGATTCAAAGGTAATCACACATTTTATCAATGTGTTTGTAAATTACTCGTTAAATGTTAATGTGGAATTTTTGTAAGACTCGCGGTCTAATGGCCAGAGAATAGCCACATTCTTCAGACCCACTTGCATTTGAATCCGGGCCAGTGGTTACAATTCAAACATTTTATTTGACGGTTTTTTGATTTTTTATCGTAATTGGCTCCGTATACTTGACCCAGCAGTCACACACGGATATAAAAACGCGTTTTTTTTTTGCTCATGGACTATCTCAGATCTTATTATAGAGGCGTTGTGTCACGGATGTGTTTTGAATTCAATGGGTAGTGAGTACCTCTCAGACTACCTCTGTAATGGCGCGCACCCGTATAATAAATATCTCCACGTAGGTAACAGTTTTTAAAAATATGACAGTTTTGGAACCTGTCGGAATATAAAAGTCAAACAATTAACCTATTTTATTTATACAACTGTATGTATAGAAAGAAAGAAAGAAATAATGAACTATTTATTTTATATACACATTTTACACACATTAATAAAATATATAATATACAAAAGCAAGGGGGAAAAGAGTGCATGTATCAGTCTAATACTGCTTACGCATTTACAATTGAGAAGCAGTGCATACACAATAATGAAACAAACAAACAAACAAAAAAGTAAAAAGGAAAAAAAGTCTAAAAAAAGGTATAAAAGTGTTATATTACTATATATTTAAATAATACCTACCTATACACTTACACATACAATATTAACATGATATTTGACTATTCTTTGGGGAAGACAACTTTTACTTTTTTCATAAAAGTAGATAATTTAATATTCTGAGTCAAAGAGACAGGCCATGTTACGAGACCTGCTGGATTTTTAGAGCAAAAAGTAAAAAAGAAATAAGATTGAAAATTGAAACTAATAAATAATAAATAATCATTCATCAAATAACAGAAACACATTAATAATCAATAATATTCGAACATAAAAAAGTGTAGAACAAATATAAATACTAGTACTATACTCGTATTGCTAACATCGTACGTTCGAGATAGTTTATTCTTGTTGTACTTGTTGTACCAAATAATGCAACTTTAATTTGTTTTTAAAACTATTTAATGTTTATGTATTAATGTATATGTATTATTGTTTGTTATTCCTATGAATAATTTTATAAAACAACAAAACGATTGAATATGTGGCCATAAATTCACAACTTTAAAGGCTAAATTTCAAAAAGGATATAATTTAGGTAATTTGAACTTCGAATAGAAGAACATCAAAGTAATACAAATTAGTAACAATTGCAAACGGGGCTTTAAATACCAGATAACTCCAGCACTGCAAATTCATTGTTTCAAGAATCACATAATGTGAACTGAAGTGCATTGAAATTCGTATTGTTACAATCTTATCAGAGACTACGCCGGACACAATCGCCCCCGTTGGAATAAATCCTGGAAAATACGCATGGTCCGATTTCATGTATAACTTTAGCCTGCTTTGATGCTTTGTTCACGTGGTAACAATATCAACGATTCATAGGAAACTGTTTAGACCGAATAAAAAATTGAGCGCGTAAGTATGTGTATAGAATAGAAGGGAATAGAATGTTTTTATTCAAGATAAATGATTCATTTTGAGTAAAAACGGTATCCGGTTCTCTGAACTTACTGTACAAAACACAGCAGCATTTAGCTGTTATTTTACGCTGATATTCTGTGACCCATTCGCGCTACCATAATTAAGTTGCAACGTGAAAATACAAATGATAAATGATTTTATTTTTAGCAGGCAGCAATTTAAGTGCCATAAACTGATCTTTTGTATGATGGGTAAAACCCGCGACTTCGCATCTACATTTTGATTCTTTTAAAAGGTCTATAACATGTACCTAAGTGTCTAGAGTGGTTAACGTCTTCTTACCATCAGGTGAATAGACTCATAATTTTAGAAACGTCTTGGCAGCAATCACTATCCCTAATAATGTATTGTTATAACCAGGTGATAAAAATTTTTTCTACTAAATGAAAATTATTAGTGAGATCGTATGTAACGGAGTATAATGTATTGGAATATATTAATGGCTGTATTGATGTTAGAAGAAAATTCAGTAAACAACATGTAAATGTCTTTATTGTAAATTGCACTATAAACTTGGAATTTATAGAATGCTACAAAGTACGATACTTCGGTGGCCCGTGCTGCTTTATGGATACAAACGTTTAACATTTCAATAAATTGTCTAAATATAATGTTTTTCAGACCGAATTTCGGTCTAGTCATAACGGAGATTAGACATCTAGCGCAGGATCAGAGCACGAGTGTTTGCGTGCGCAAGCACAAAGGCACTTTCTATTCCCTCGCTTTCATAGTCCGATGGGGACGGCCACCCGACACGACCAGGGAGAGATCAGGTCTGGGACCAACACCCACTGTTTGACTTCGAGTTGTTACTAAGAATTACATGACAGAAAACCCAATAACTCATATTTGTTTTTGGCAAGACCCGGGATTCGAACCCAGGACCTTATGAGCAGCAGCCGAAGCGATCAATAGACCAACGAGGCAGTCATAAATTATATTAGATTGTCTATAATAAGTGTTGTAGTCTATACAGCCATATCTAGGGAGCTCTATAAACCCGTTAACATAAAGTCGTTGGAAATGTATTTTCAAAACCAATTTCATTTCATAATCACCAATTATTTCAAATAGATGAAGTATAGATGAAAATCATCATTTAAGTCATACACGTGTACAGGCTTAAAACAATTATTGTTCTAGTGCGCAATATTGCATGCACTCAATTTATTTCAAAACCTTTGATGTTCAAAGGGCTGCAGTTACAAAGCCCGATATGTTCCCCTTTGATGGACAGTGCCTACGGTTAACGTCGAACTATTGTAAATTTGATTGTGTGAATATTTCAAATTCCTTTTAACTCAACACAACTGAAAACAGTCAATATCCACTTTCAATGGGTTTATTGTTAAATGTATTTTTATAGCAGTAAGTGTGACAAGCGAGCACAGTTGACAAGCAAGTTGATGAAAGTGTCTCCGGTTCACTTACCATACCAAACACAGTAACATTAAGCTGCTATTTTTAGCTATTTTTAGTAACATTAGCTTGCTATTTCATTAAGCTGCTATTTATATGAACATATATATACTATACTTGTAAATACAAAAATACAATAATATACTCTATACATAATACATAAACATACATAATTTTAAACAATACATAATACATACATTTTAAACATACATACAAACATATTATTATACAAAAACAACTTAAGTAATTTATAATACACTTATACAGAAACATTTAAATAAGAAGGTCAGTTGCTGAAAGGAGAACGGTAGTGATCAGTCACCGTTCTTTTAAAGGCTGCAACAGAAGTCGGTTTCCTGATATGATGATCTATATCTTTGATCTTAGAACAAATGTTCCTTGTCGTCAATAACTTCTTATATAAACGTTTTATACGTGGTAGAGAATGGGTCGGCTCGACCGGGGAAGGACCACGCTCTTACAGAATACCTCCGTAAAATAGCAGCTTAACACTGCTGTGTTTCGTATGGTGAGTGTAGAGAACCGGAGACCTTTTTTACTGGAAAAGAGGCATTCCATCTTAGTCCTCAGGGGTGACAAAGCATCCGCATTTTGATTCGTAATCGAGGATAGATGCAGACGTCTATGGGTCACAGCAACCACTTACCATCAGGTGGACTGTGTGCTCGTTTGTCACCCTATCCTATAAAAAAAATTAAGACCTGAAAACTTTGAATAAACTGCCACAGCTTTTATTTTAAGGCATTTTCCTAATTGGCATGTACTTAAGGAGAAATGTGAATATGCATGATAAATAGTAACTCTTGATATACAAAAGACCAGGTTTAGTAAGATCTTAAAATTAGAATTTCATAGTTGCTTAGAACTTTGTCGGATGTTAACATTGTCCATCTAAATTTGCATGCCTTTCAGTATGTAAAATAGAGTATTTATCTCCCCATTAAATATTCATTCTAGTGACCCGATCATTCAAGTATTGATTCGTCTTACGAACCGGGTCATTCGAGTCGATTATTCAAATTGATCATTTCGTGTTTCAGTACTCTGTGAACTGTGAGAACCCCTCTATAACGTCGGTTGTCGGTCATTTCTATCCCTCACTTCTATTCACAACTATTGGAAATGCCAGAATTACCTCATGTTCTCCGATAGATCGATTTCATCTAGAAGCAGTGCGCAGTCACTGATAAAGTTTCAGCGGAAACTTTACTGCACGAGGATTACACGAACTGATATTTTCTGTACCACATTGTAACTTCGAAAACTTTCTTTAATGATGCCTGGAACTAACTTTAGAATTCCCGGTATCGGAAACATGTTACATTCCTAAATATATTTTGGACTAGCTTGGTTTGGTTTTTGAACAAGAAAGAAAAACGAAATCAAATGAAGTTACTTTTTAAAAATTTCTACCTAACAATAATATAATATACGTGATTTATACGTGTGCATTCTAGTGATTAAATTCGTATAAAACAGTAATTAAAATATTTTATACAAATTAAATAACGACAGAGAACATATGCGACAACTAAAGCGGGATAGGTATAAGACACGATGATATGATTTCCATTAACTGTTTATTTGCAAGCACGTATGTAGCCTCAATTTTTTTTTTTTTTTTTTTTTTTTATAGGAGAGGGGGCAAACGAGCATGCGGCTCACCTGATGGTAAGTGACTACCGCCGCCCATGAACAACCGCAACACCAGGGGAATTGCAGATGCGTTGCCGGCCTTTTAAAAAGGAGTAGGCTCTTTTCTTGAAGGTCCCTAAGTCGTATCGGTCCGGAAAAATCCCTGGTGGTAAACTATTCCACAAGGAAGTTGTGCGAGGAAGAAAACATCTTCTAAATCGCACAGTGGTGGACCGCCAATCATCCAGATGGTGTGGATGGTATCGGGAGTTATGCCGC